ATTCTAAACTAAAAGTAATTATTATCTTCGGGTGCTTTGAACGCTGTTTTGCTGCCGATATTATTGTGAAAAGAATGGTGGGTGGAATAATTAGTTGTTATTAGAATTTCCTTGAGGTATACTCCTTCATTATTTAAAGCCTCTTGGGATGCAGGTTTTTTAGAAAAACAAAACAAAAACATCGATACTAGGCCTTGTTTCTCTGGGCTATTAAAGTGCAGAAATTTTCAGAACTTGGGGGAATGGTGCTAATCTAGTAAAAAGTTCAAAAGACTGTTTTGTTTTTCCAGGTGATAGCTGAGTAATTTCCTAAAAATTCAAAACATCGAGTTAGGCCGACATTCAATCAACGAGGAAGTAATAAATGCAAAAGTCCAATATCAACTTTTAATAATGAATCTTAATTATGCATCGAACTAGCTTTTAGACCATGATGTACTTTGTTCCAAGCGCGTTACAGAAAAGAAAGAATCCTGATGCAACTGTTTTTCAAACATTTGAGATAAATATTGAAGATGTCTTCTGATGTAGCTTTCTTCTCCTTTCATTAATATTGACAGTGTTATCAGACTGCTTAAACACTAGACGTTTCCGAAAGCAAGTGACTATGTGTGTAGTTTGCTCCTTGAAATGAAATATGTTGTTAATCTTAGAAATACTGAGAAATTTACGAAAGATTATGAGACAAATAACGAAAAGACGTAAAAATGGGTCATTTCGTGCTCAATGCCTACATCCTAAGAGTGACTTAAAGGAAGACGGACTCCGTTCATGTTTAGTTTACATGTATCAAGTTCGTGTTTCGCCTAGCGAGTTCAAAATTGTCGGAAAAACCCTTTGAAAATATGTTAGCTTACCATTCGAGGTACGAAGAGATATAAATCATGACACTTGCAACATATAATCACACATAACACTTACCAAGTATGACGAGAAACATAATAGCTCCCATCGATTTCTTGACATCACTTTTCATTTTGAGTTCAATCTCGAGCCACGAAAACGTGAACAGAATGTTATTTGTTTACATATCAGCAAAGACGTCGCTTGTTTCTTTGTTTTTAATTAATGTCTCTGCGAAATCGCTACTTCATTTATTTTATTTCTTCTCTTTTTAGCTTCGTTGATATACCTACGTGGATTTAAGTAGCATTTTTAATTGCATGCATAAAGACATGCTCACAATATATCACTGGAGGCGGAAATTTAGGAAAGGTGACAAATTAAATTCACGCCATTCGTTATCAAGTGACATCATCTCATAAGGTAAGAAACTGATAAAAAAAATTAAGAATAGTCTGCAGATGAGATTTTTCTTTAATATACCGCTTTTGTATCTTTTAGTTTAAAAAGTGGATTTCATTTTTACTGATTGCTTTCTTTTATACTAAATAAACCGGGGATTCTTGGGATTAATTTTAGAAAGATGAAATTAGTAATTAGTTATGTATGCAGTACAAAAGGAGAGTCAGGTAAAATGAAATATGCAAGTTAATTTCCTTTTATTCCTTAAAGAATAGTTTGAATTTTTTTTCTCTTAATAAACCTGAAATTAGTTCACTGTTAAGACATTAGAAAAAGAAAAAATTTAGAATCAGAAAACCGCTAGGAGTAGAAAGAGTAGCACTAAACGAAAAGTAATAAAACAAGAACAAATCGAAACAACGTAAAAGACGAACAAACACAAAAATATTACGTTTTTATTTCAACTTTCGTCTTTTTAATGTTTTGGTCGTAAATGTTCGCTGTTGCTACCATTGAAGCCTAAACGGGCTGAGATGTTGATTAACTGATATCTATCGTGTTTCCTATGTTCAATAAATTATGATTTTGGCTTACCACCATTGTTGCCATATTTATGATTGAAGATTTCTAATTAACCCTGTTTTAGGTTACTGCGCCTATATATTATGGAGCTGACAGCTACCGCGGGAAAGATAAAGCGAAACCTGTGTTAATATTGGCTACCTGCTCGAGATTATCCGCTTTGATCTTGCGCAAGGAAAAAAAAAGTGCGCGGGGCGGACTTACTAAGTGAAGTTTGGACAATGTCGGCAACAAAGTCGTAAACAGCGGTAGAGGAAAGTAAAAACTAAGAAAAACTTAAACGAGCATTTTGTGTTTATTGTGATTAATGCGCAGCTGACTTTTTTTTCCCCTGCTTTTGAAAAAGAAGGAAAAAAAAAAACAAGGCAACTCGGCCAATATCATACATCTTTATCTCACGCTTGGTCATAAACACATATTTATAGCTTTTTTGTATGGCTTGTCTGTTGCAGTAATCAATGAATAAACGTATTGTCCATGTAGGAACCCAAGAGCAGGATGACCAACCAACCAGTTCCGCTATTAGTGAAGTAATTTCTTAGTTAATTCGTCCGATTCAAGCTTTCTGAACATTAGCTTAACTCTAGGAAATAACTCTTTTAGCTATATCGAAATGCAAACTTTCACCTATCATACTTGTGATACAGTCATATTTAAGCAAGATAAATGCCCAAAGTTGAATTTATTATAAAATTACACTTGGCGCGAAACATTTTGTCCGAATAACGGCTTTGAAATTATCACATACTGTCCAAAATCGTTATTTCCTAAACCCGACGAAGGAAAAGACTTTTTCACAGGACCGTGATATTGGTGAGTTATATTTGCAAACCCCTTGAATGTATTTCACCTGTGCAATTTTCCTATCTTTATTTGCATTTATATCGACGATAAGCTCCTAACCTTCCTTATCGGACAAAAAAAGATAAGGTGTCACTCATTTCGCTACTCCTGATGACACATGTATCTAGATGTTCGTGCGGCAAGACAAGGAATGGCACAACAAATGCAAGAGATAACTCTTAGTAAGTGCATGCATACATTTGTATCATTACTATTTTTTTTTTTTTTCAAAGAGCATCATAACGAATTTTGCGATCTGATTGGTTCTTAGTGCGGTCCTGATCTTCAAACCTCCTCCCCCTGCAGACAAAACAGGATAAGTAATTTCCTACTCCCAATGATTCATGTAACCGCGACATGAGGAGTGGAGGAACAAATGGGAAAAGTCAGTTTGGGATTTCTCACTAGTGTATATGCGGTTTTTTTTTCTTTTTCACTAATTTTAGTAACAAAAGTTGTTACGGTGCGGCTACTCGAACCAAGGCCACCCTGGAATTTTTTTTGCAAATTGACCAATAGTTTTCGAGGGATGAAACAATAGAATGGTCACAATTTGAAAACCTACCGTTACCGCTCCAGCATCTCCGAGATCCACCAGAGAGAAGAATAATGAATGCTGAAGTAATCAGCTGAATTGAAACGGAAAAACTTATGAAACCAGGCGTATACGTAAGACAACTACAAGATCATTTGTTACTCGACGGAGTAGTTCATCATCTCGACCTGCCGTCGAAGTCTGCCATAGAAAAGTGTATCAGGGAGGATCTTTACATGACAAAAAAAGAAAATACAGCAAATACCATTAGAATCACAAAGGAGTGGCAATATCCATCGTCGAAATGAATTCCTTGAAACAATATCCGACTTGGAACCAGGC